GTTGTTTTTAACATTTAATAGGTGAATTAAGTTGGAAAATTTGTGAAAACCCTCTAGATTCAATTTAAGATTTGGAGGCCGAGTTGTTATCGGAATTGAATAAAATTGGTATGGTTGAACTCGTATCGGAATGGGCGTTCATATTTTATAACTTTTATCGAGTTCCGAGACGTGGGCCCCACGAGCAATTTTTGGGTTAAATTTCGGGGTTTTGTAGAAAATTTATATTTTCATATGGAATTTATTCCTACAATTTGTATTAATTGAATCTAATTAATTATGACTATATTCGAGCCGATCGGAGTCGGAAAATCGAGGAAAGGGCATACTACTTGATTGATTAAACGCAGTTTGAGGTAAGTATCTTGCCTAGTCTTGTGTGGGAAAACTATCCCTTAGGATTTGAGTCATCTATGCTGATTGTAGTCTGTGTACGCGAGGTGGCAAGTGCGTGCTCAGACTTATTTGTGGAAAGTTGGCCTTTTAGGATTCTTATGTCCTTATATTCACCATGTATGATGTTGTTCTTGATACGCTTGAATTCCTATTTGTTAGTTTCACCTTTACATGCTTTGATTAGAGATAATTGCTCTAGGATTCACTCTTACTGCCTATTTGACCCTTATTCGACGTAACCAAAGATTTTACCTCTTCTATCGACGTGCTATATTTTTCATAACTGCTTATCTTTAATTGAAATCATTATTTTCTCATCCTATAATTGTTTAGTCTTAATTGGAGCTATGATTATCTTCTGTTGCATATCCTTACTTGAATTGTTGAATATTCCTCGTAATTGCTCAAACTCAAAAGGAGTTTAGATAACCTATATCTTAGTTGACTTGCCATTATTTGAAACTATTTGACTCGTGTCGGCTTCTTATCGTTGACTTAAATATTGTGGAATCGTTGCTATATTTTGTTTTGTTTTTCCTTGTTAAGTTGTTCTCCTTGTGCCTAGTATTCTTCACTATGGTTATTCCTGATGAAAGAGTCTACCGTTCTTGTGATTTAAGTTCTTGAGTTGATTTGCTCGTCGTACCTTGCATCTTTGTCATTGTTGCTTTTGTACTTGTTGTGGTGATGTACTAGGTTTCTGTCGTGTTATAGTTGTTATCTCTGTTGTTTGCATTGCATATTTAAATTGGGACTACGGACGTATTCCGGGAGATCCCCCAGCACTGCATATTTAAATTGGGATTACGGACGTATTCCGGAAGATTTTCCAGTACTGCATATTTAAATTGGGACTACGGACGTATTTCGGGAGATCCCCCTATCTTGCATATTTACTTTGGGACTACAGACGTATTCCGAGAGATCCCCCAGCACTACATATTTAAATTGGGACTACGGACATATTCCGGGAGATCCTTCTGTCTTGCATATTTAATTCGGGACTACGGAACGGTATCCCGGTAGAATCCCCTGTGGTTATATCTGTGTTCGGAACTGCTAATATTTCATGCTTAGGTGTCGGAGGGTGACTTATACTCGAAAGATATTACTGAAAAAGTTTATACGGACCTACCGAAATTGTTAAAACACTAATCCGGGTCTGTTTGCTCAAAATGTTGACTAAAGTCAACTCAGTTGAGTTTTTAAAGCTCTATTTCACATTTTAATCCATTTTTCACATAAAAACTTTTTTAAAAATTGTACGGACTACGCACGGAAGCCGAGGAATGATACATGGTGCTTTTTGAGGTCTTAAAACACAGAATTACTTATTAAATTTAAAGATGACATTTTGGGTCATCACAATAATTAATTAAAAGATTTAATTATTTGATTTTAACATAAAAAATAATTTATTGTATGTTGATTCAGATATTAATATTAGTTCATCTCTTGTTTTTAATATTTAATCTTAATTATACTTTTATCCACCATAAATTTTATTTTTAAAGAGTAAAAGAGTGATATGATATTTCACTTTTAGATCTTTATGTCTGTAGAATCACTAGTGGTATTGACTCTTACCAACTATTTTTTTTCTTTTTCTCATACATTTATATTCTTAAATATTTTCTTAGTTGTTGTTTAATAATTGAGTATTTTTTAATATTAAATAAAAATTTTATAAAAAAATATATTATTTGAGTAAGAAAATAGTTCAAATATAATATAAAAATATATTATCGTGGGATTTTTTTTTCTCAATTTTAATTCTTTATGCAGTCCATTTAATATTACTTTTATTTTATCTTGGTATTGGACATTATGGAGTGGTAGTGTATTGCCAATACGAAGGATTCTTATGAAATTGATTTTATTAAATCTTCCTACATATTTTTAATAAGAATTTAATAGATAAAATTTTATTAATTTTAAAATTTTAAATATTAAAAATTAGCATAGAAGGTATTGTAGTCTAAAAAATAGGTAATTACAGTTATGTCCTTCCCCGATGAGTTCTTCCGTTTAATATTTTAGGGCTATTTTGGTATATTAATTTTATATTTATGCTTTTATAATAATATAGGTTCTCCTTTTTCTAAATGGATTTGGACAATATAATACATTCTCAAATTAAATTAGTAATAGGACATTATAATACGTTTTCAAATTAAATTAGTAATAGAAATTTTTAAGATGTATATCCTAAAAGTAATAAGATTACATGACTAAAGATATTTACTTGTTCAATTTTATATGAATTAGACAGCCCGAAAGTAATTATACTAATAGGATTCCTAAAGGAAATCATGTAGGATTCCCAACGTGTAGTATTATATCCTAAAACTAATAGGACTATAAGGCTAATATCTAGAATTTCAGTTATGTCCTTTTATTATGAGTTATTATGCTTAATATTATAAGATTATTTTTGTAAATCGACATTGTATTCATGATTTTATAATAAAGGAATTCAGTGTCATAAAACGAAATCCGGAGGGAGAGCTCTAAATCTATTCAAAAATTATAATCGTAACACCAGTGGAATTGCTTTTTAATTTCTTTACTTTCTTTTCCACGAGTAACTCTCATAATCGGAAATTAAGTGTAATTTGCATAGCATATAATTCAATTTTTTTTTTGTTTCTTGCGTTTCTTTATAATAAAAATTTAAAGCGATCATAAAAGATGAGATATAATATTTGAAAAGATTGAGTTCTCCTATTTCCGTCAGTTTTCTTACTTTATGATATTTATTCTAAATTACTTATTTCATCTTCGTTTGATAGATTACATTAGTGATATTATGGAATATTAATTTTAGTATTGAAACTTTATTTTTCATTATGTTAAAATAAATAACGTACATAGAGAAATTGAGCTAGGAAAAATAATTATAATATTCAAACCATAAGTGAAGTGTTGAGAGAGATTGCTATAATTATCAATGAATATTATGATATACAATTGTATTTAGTCAGTTAGTGGGTATCAGATGTCCATTTTATTTCATTAAAGTCGATCTTAAGCATCTTTCGGTTCAATTACGTACTAATTATTCTGTTGGAATATCCATTTTAGATTTCAAGAAATATTTGTGCAAATTTTAATCCAGATATCCCTATTTATTTATTTATGCTATATGACATCCATGTTTTTCTCTTCACCAAGATTCGCATATCCTTTAAAAACTTTAATTCGAAGACCAAAAAGTAAAGAATAGGTAGATATTTACTTGTTCAATTTTATTTGAATTAGATAGCCCGAAAGTAATTATACTAATAGGATTCCTAAAGGTAATCATGTAGGATTCCTAACGTGTAGTATTATGTCCTAAAACTAATATGATTACTAATATCTAAAATTCCGGTTATGTCCTTTTATTATGAGTTATTATGCTTAATATTATAAAGTTATTTTTGTAAACCGACATTATATTTATGCTTTTATAATAATATAGATATAGATATAGATAGATAGATCTCATATCATACTTAAAACTACACGTTTCAAAGGTTTTTTATTTATTTATTTATTTAAAGTTTGTGCTTACTTAAACACTATTGTGTAAAGTGACAAGGGTGTATATATTTCTCAAAATTGGTTTCAATTAAACTATAACTCCATATATTCTCGGATTCTTGTTTTCCACATTTGTCAACTTACCCATGATTGAAGTTCGAAACTTTAGGACCCAGGTGAAGTTTGATTATGAGGTGGTTAAACTTTAAAAATTTCGGTTATTCTTTAAAATAGGGTTCCTAAAAACAATAATTTGTACACTTCACTCATTTGTCTTAATTTACAAATAAAATATTGTAAAAATAGAAATAGCACGAGGTAGCCGCTTGTGATGAAAATATTTAAAACATAGCTAACTTTTGAAAATTATTAAAAATATAATTACTTTTTAATAAGTAAATAAATTTAGAACAAAATAAGGTCTAACAAGGAGAACTTAGACTCTACTAAGGTCAACTTCAGACTCGAAGTTTGAACTGCATTCGATTCAAATTTAGACCTTCGCGTGAAAGTCAAGTTATTAGCAATAGCTACTACTACTTTCGACATAGTTTCTTTTCTTCTTTTTTTAAACTTGTTTTGAAATTGTTTTTTTTTTAGCCGGACTCTACGTATGAGATTTCACTAAGTAAGTTGTTGTTGCATAAAGTTAGGGTATTGAAATTTGAAAAGATGGTTAAATTTTTTGTAAACTTCGGCTATTCTTTAAATAGCGGTGCTAAAGCGACTATTAGGTAGAAATGACACCAGGTAGCCACTTTACAGGACTGCTATTTAGGAATTAGTCGGTGCGTCCTAAATTTTAGTTTTTCAGGATAAAAATATCTTCAATTGTCCTGCATTTAAGAGTTTTAGTTTATATTTTCAGGATAAAATAAATACAGACTAATTTCTAAATAGCATAGAATGACTATGTGTGCACTTGGCCCGGCTATTTGTGCACTTCCCCAGGAACATCAATACTCGGCCCAAAATGTATCCGGACAACGTGCGGCCCTAAAATGAAAATCGAACGAAGCCCACTATTTCCAATTATCAAACTGTAAGCAAAACAATGTCTTTTTTCAGTTGAATGAATACTAAAACCCTACACAATACCCAGCGCTTCTAAACTGAAACTGAAGAAAAAATGGAGCTAAACCTTAACAAGAGGAAAAAGCAAAAGATTGAGAACAACAACAAAAACAGTAATTCAGAGGTTTTCGCTTCTTGCTCTTTCCAAAGTCTCGGTCTTCACCCTACCTTATGCGACCAGCTCAAAGGTTTATATATATATATATATTCTAGCTGGAATTATTATAAAGTGCATCTTTTTCGTGTTAATTTTCGAAAGTTATTTAAAAAAAATATTTTAGGCTTCATTTTTAATGTAAATTTGATAACAGAGAGGCTTGGATTCGAGGCTCCAACACTTGTTCAGGCTCAAGCAATTCCTGTTGTCCTATCCGGTCGACACGTGTAATTTCTTTACTCTTTGATATTTCTATTCAATTATATGATGGATGTGTTTGTATTTTGATTTCAAGTTTTGTGTTTCTTAATGTTAGAATTGATTTTTAGGATTATTTTTAATGAATATGGTGACAGGCTAGTGAATGCGGCTACTGGAACGGGGAAAACTGTAGCTTATTTGGCTCCAGTCATTCATCAGTTGCAGAAGTCTGATCCCAGGATTCAGCGAACCGATGGTACTTTTGGTACGTGTAATATTTGCTTATCGAATCTGAAAATAAAAATGTGATTCTCATTAGAGCTTAAATTATGTGCATTGACGATGTAAAAAGTATTTACACAATCAGGTTACTTAAAAAGTAATTGTACGTGTCTCTATTTAAAAACATTGATTTGTAACCTAGAATAAAGGGCAAGTAACTTGTTATAACAGGTTAAATTACACTGATGGTGTAAAAACTTCATTACCCTGTAATCATCTTTCTCATTATTAGAATAGCTGTGATGGTATTTAGGCTAAAGCAAGTGTTTGCTTTATAACAGGTATAAGAAAATCACCTACCTGCTTTTATTTCTCTTGTAAATTTTGGTGATTTAATTCGATTTAACTGATGTATTTGGGATAGCGTTGGTTCTTGTGCCAACGCACGAATTATGCATGCAGGTGTATGAGATCTTGCAAAAGTTGTTGCACCGTTTTCACTGGATTGTTCCTGGCTATATTATGGGAGGGGAAAACAGGAACAAAGAGAAAGCAAGATTGCGAAAAGGTTGGTGCATTTTATTCCCTTTTTATTCGTTGTCCTTGTAAATGAAAGTAGTGTTTTGCTTTTAGACAAAAACTTCTCCTTGTCTGTTTTTTCCAAATTAGATTGCCTACATTGCTCGCATTTGTTAGCTACAGTAACGGATGACTTTCTCAACATTTTCAGTGCTTTTGTATAGTGTTGGTAGTACATGTTCTTGCATCCTGACCTCTGGTCTGATTTACTTTAATAACTTAAAGTCAGGTGTCTTGCTATAGTAGAAAACTTTTTCATGTTGCTTTTATTCTAGCTTTTTACTTAAATAATGCTGAAATTGGTGCTGATGAGCAGAAAGTGACAGTTCCATAGTAGGTGCTAGGATTTCCTTTTTGACCAGCACCAGATTGCACGCATTTTATTCTTCTTAAAGATATACAATGTTGCATAATACAAGGGTTACAGATGGATTTACGATGATTCTAAACTACTTTAGTCTTCGTTTTTTTGTTTTAGGTTGGATTTTTAAATTCTTTCATATGGTAGTGGCGTAGCGCCAAATCTTACAAATCTGTTTTCATACTTGTAAGTCTAGTGAGCCACTCTCTTGGCTCCAGGCCCACTCTTCGTCCTATGAGTTATTTTCTCTGCTCTGAGCTAAATGCTACCTACTCTTTCTGCTCTATGCTCTCTACACCGAGTACTTAGCCCGTCGTGCCACTATTATCCTTTTGGGGTATTGCTGTATGGTGTATAATATTAATCAGCGTTCTCTGTAGTAATACTACTGGAGAGTTTTTCTCATCTTGATTTGGCAGCATTTCAAAAGCCTCATCATAATGCTCATTTCTAGGTATATCTATTCTTGTTGCAACTCCTGGACGTCTTTTGGATCACCTAAAAAACACATCATCATTCTTGTACACGAACCTGCGCTGGATAATTTTTGATGAAGCAGACAGGTATGTCTATGCTTTATCTCTCAGTGGACATGCTCTCTTACTAAATTCATATCCTAAACCCCTCAATTGCATGTATGCCTTTGTAGAATTCTGGAACTTGGATATGGTAAAGAGATTGAAGACATACTTAATATTCTGGGCTCTAAACCACAGAAACCTGTTGGCAAGGATAACGCAACTTCACGGATTTCTGAGGTTCAGAGGCAAAATTTGCTGTTATCAGCTACATTAAATGAGAAAGTAAATGAGCTCGCTAAAATTAGTTTAGATAACCCAGTGATGGTTGGGCTTGACCAGAAAACAGAGCTACAGTTAACTCAGCAAGACATGGAACCAATGGAATTTAATGGGAAGGATATATTAGGAAAAGATGGCAAACTACTGACTTCTTCAACTGAGGAATATAAGCTTCCGACTCAGTTACTTCAGCGATATATAAAAGGTATGATTAGGAAGTATATATTCGTATATTACCCTGATTACTTGCTGTATGATCGTATTATTCTTATGGTGTTCTATTCACAGTTCCCTGTGGTTCTCGGCTTGTAGTGCTTCTTGCAATTCTAAAACATCTGTTTGAGAAGGAGCCTTCCCAGAAGGTAAGGCAATTCTTTAGTGCCAAACAAGCAATTTTGACTTGTAAAAATGGTAGTTATATCATTCACTGGCATCAAGCTTGAACATGTTTTACTGTCAGAAGTTGAGCATATTCTACATTTGTACCTGGTACAGGTTGTGGTGTTTTTTTCAACATGTGATGCTGTAGATTTTCATTACTCATTGGTGAGTGGATTTCAGTTGCTCCCTCATCGGCAATCAGATATTGAAGACAAACAACTGTTTTTGAAATGCAACACACTTCGGTTACATGGGAATATGAATCACGAGGACCGAAGAACTACATTCAATGCTTTTAAAACAGAAAAATCAGCACTTCTGCTGTCCAGTGATGTTGCTGCTAGGGGCTTGGACTTTCCAAAAGTTAGGTGTATTATACAGTATGATCCTCCAGGAGAGGCGACTGAATATGTGCACCGGTGAACTCTCTCTCCCTCTTTCTTTCCTTTTAAATTTTTCGATTTAAAAACATTGGACAATAATTCACGTTCGGTCCTGAAAAAGGTTCACTTTTCTGACTTAAAAGGTGACATATCCTTTATGTACACCTTTTTTGTGGTTGCACATATTTCTCTCACTCTTTTCCAGGTATCCCAAGTTTCCTAGTGCCATCAAGGAAATCAAATTTCCTTAAGCCAGAAGCACTACCAAGTCTGGAGTAATTGAACACACATCAACACCTCAATAATTTGTTTTCCAAATTTGAGTAGTGTGCTTATTCTGGATTTGTGGTTTGATGTTAGTTATATCATAATGCAGGGTAGGAAGAACTGCCCGCATAGGTGAAAAGGGAGATTCTTTATTGTTCCTACAGCCAGTTGAAACTGATTACTTGCATGGCTTGGAGAAACATGGGGTGACTCTAACAGAGTATCCCCTTCAGAAACTTTTGGATAGCTTTCCATTGTTTGGTATCAAGTACCACCCGAAGAATTTTGTTTCAGTAGACACGCATCCCTGGGCTGTTTCTCTGCAGAGAGCATTGGAATCCTTTATATCATCAGAGGTATGAGAATTAGTCTTATTTATGTTGAATTGCTGATTTTGTTTTTCTGCTTCTTGCACAGTTAGTTAACGAATCTCATCAACATGGTACAGCAGAGCTTGCATTTCATTTCATTTTGGCGTACCTATCTGCAGTTGGAAGTCCAGTTTCTTAGTTTCTAGATATATATATAAAATAAGTTTCTTAAATTCTATTATTTTCATCCTTCTGGTTGTCCCTTTTCTATTGTGTGCTATTGCTAGTTGACATTACTAAAACGCCTTAGGGTGAAGTGAGGGTTGAAAACAACTTAAAACGCCTATTTGGCATGAATGATCTCTTGGAACTTGTTCTCTGTAGGGTGAAGTGAGGGTTAAGCTTGTACAATGTATTCTACCATGGGGGTATCTGCTTCTCTTTTTGTTGTTTGTGCAAATTATCTGAATGCTGTAAATAGTTATACTGAAATAGGCTTCGTTTGGTTGACGATTTAGAGCTCTATTGGATATTTGATTTGCTTCCATTTATCTTCCTCTAGCTCATTATGATCCCGGTCTTAAAATTAAATTGTGAGAATTGCCCACATTCTGATGGGATTGCAACACTTTTGGATGAAGGTTAACATTTGATGGCTCCGCATGCTATTAATGTATTACTGTAAATTGTAATACCCTTTTTAATGCTTAGAAAGCTGATAATTCATTAGTTGTATCTGAAAATTGCTTCGGCCGAGTAGATACACCTCAACTACAGTATTACTCAAGTAAGACGGAATAATTTTTTTTATATACTTCAAATGATGGATTGCCTCGTCGATGTTGTCAGCTAAAGATGAAGAAGATGGCACAAAATGCATTTTGCTCATGGGTTCGTGCATACACTGCCCATCGTGGTGAACTTAAAGGGATTTTTATGGTGAAGAAACTTCACTTGGGGCATGTAGCAAGAAGTTTTGCATTGAAGGAACAACCATCTTTGGTTAATAAATCGCTCCAAAAACAATCAAAGAAGAGGATGAGAGATCAGAAACATAACAACATATCGAAAAAGAGGAAAGTTTCTAAAAGATGATGAGCATTGAGGATGTGAAACGTTTGTTCTCAGATAACCTTGAGATATTGGCTAGGATATGTACACAAGATGAGCATTGAGGATGTGAAACGTTTGTTCTCAGATAACCTTGAGATATTGGCTAGGATATGTACACAAGATGTTTCTGTCTAGCATCTTCAGTTGCCCTGCCTCTCTACCGGCTACGGCCGGAGCAAGTAGTCCGATGAGCTCGTGTATTCAGTTTTGCTGAGGAAGTTAAAACCAGTACTAGTTGCTCTGGTTTTGAGATTGTGCTGGCAGCTTGCAAACATATGCTCTTTCTGGTGAGAATGTATCAGTTGTATTTAAGACAAAGTTCTAACTCTAAGCAGGGTATTCATAATATTAGCATTTTAATTATACTAGGAAATTTTTTGTATACTCTAGGAAATTTTGTACCCAAAATCTTCAAGAACTAAAGTTGAAGCACTAATAGTTCATCTGTATTTATTAGTTGTGTGCATGGATTGTGTTCGTTTTATGCCTAAAACCAAAAATGAAATCAATTTAGCGGATTAACCAATAGTCTGGAAATTTCACGGTTCCTGGCTGGTTTTGGTTTGGTTTGGTTTGATTTGATTTAGTTCATTGGTGTTTTAGAATTCTTCTCCTTTGCTTATTTTAGGGAGAGTATAAATTTTGAGAAAAGTACATGTACTATATGAACCCTACTTATCCCTTCTCCTTTAATATTTCAAGATTTATCATCTCTTATCAGTTAGTGTGAATTATTGTTGAGAGTTAT